GGTCCCAGGGGGGTGGTTGTGGGTCCGGTACCGCGCGGAGGGTGAGGAGGAGGCGTCCGTAGGAGAAGATGATGATGGAGAGGGGGACGCCGAAGCAGAAGCAGAAGAGGAAGATGACGTAGGACTCGTTGTTCCACTTGTTGTTGGAGGTGTACCAGTCCGGGCCGCAGGAGCACTGCAGCCCCTCGGGGATGTATCTGTGGGGCAGACCCACAACTGACCCACAACTGACCCACAACTGACCCACACATCCCCCCCCGGGACCCACAACCACCCCCCAGACCCACAGCCCCCTCCTGGGACCAACCGCTCTCCAACCACCCCAGGGATGCCCCATCATTCCAGCCCCTCGGGGATGGATCTGTGGGGCAGACCCACAACTGACCCACAAGTGACCCACACATCACCCCATGGGACCCACAACCGCCCCCCAGACCCACAGCCCCCTCCTGGGACCAACCACTCTCCAACCACCCAAGGGATCCCCCACCATCCAAACCATTTGGGGAGAGATCTGTGGGGCAGACCCACAAGTGACCCACAAGTGACCCACAACTGACCCATAAGTGACCCACAAGTGACCCACACATCCCCCCATGGGACCCACAACCGCCCCCAGACCCACAGCCCCCTCCTGGGACCAACTGCTCTCCAACCACCCAAGGGATCTCCCACCATTCCAGCCCCTCGGGGATGGATCTGTGGGGCAGACCCACAAGTGACCCACAACTGACCCACATCAGACCCATAACTGACCCATAGATCCCCTCTGGGACCCACTGCTGCCCCCCAACCACCCCCCAGACCCACAGCCCCCTCCTGGGACCAACCGCTCTCCAACCACCCAAGGGATCTCCCACCATCCAAACCATTTGGGGAGAGATCTGTGGGGCAGACCCACAAGTGACCCACAACTGACCCACAAGTGACCCATAACTGACCCACAAGTGACCCACACATCACCCCATGGGACCCACAACCGCCCCCCAGACCCACAGCCCCCTCCTGGGACCAACCACTCTCCAACCACCCAAGGGATCCCCCACCATCCAAACCATTTGGGGATGGATCTGTGGGGCAGACCCACAAGTGACCCACAACTGACCCACA